AAGACCGAATTTAATAATTGTGATTCATTTTAAAATATTAAATAGCGATAATGTGTAATTAAGGAGCATGGGATATCAAAGATTTTGTTTCCAAGACTTTTCTTTTTTTTTAAAAAAAAGATCATGCATTATTTATTACATGAAAGTTATGGTCAATGCATGGAAAAGGGTAATAACGTCACCGAGTTATGTTGATTCTTGACCTTTAATGCAATATCTTGTTGGTGAAAATAACCAAAAAAATTGAAGTAAAAAAATGGCAACTACAAAAAAATAAAAAATAAAGACTTTACCTTTCAGGCACACAGACAGATACAAGTGGAGAAAGAAGAGAAGAGAAGAGAAGGAAGAGAGGGCCTTCCTGCTCCCGAAACTGACTTCTCCAATCTCTTTAGTCTTTTCCCCATCTGGGTTTTTCATATCATTCCCAAAGTTGCTGTCTATTTAAGGTTATAAACACTTCAATTTTTCTGTTTTTATTTTGATCACGTATATTGGTTTTAAGTTCTACTTGATTAGCTGGTTTTTATATATAATTTTTTTAGTGGAAAGAAAATCCTTGATTTTGGGTTGTTTTTTGTTTTACTACGATGATTTTGATGAATGTTAGTTTAATATTTTTTTTTAATTTTTTTGCTGTTGACCCATCATTTCGAATTGGTTAATTTGTTTCTCTGTTTGTTAATTTTGAGAAAAATATGTGTGAATCTGATAGGGTTATTGGGTTTTTAATGTTTTTGAATGGTACCGATTTGTTGATTGATTGATCAATTTTGATGACCATTTAACTTAGATGCTAATGCATGCTCTCGCTACTAAGCATGGCAAGTTTGATCAAAGGGGATTATCAGGAAGTCTTGATTTTGAAACATTTAATTTAAGTCTCAGGGCGAGTGTGAATTCGATAGTTTTTTATGGACGTTGTTATGACGATAATAAAGTGGTTCTTGAGTTTAAGTTTCGCATCTGAAGTGTGTCCTAAAAAAAGGAATCAAGTTGATTTGGTTCAATTCAAAGTTATAAAATATTTAGAAATTATTAGGATCAAGTGGGGATTTCTTACTGAAAATGGAAAGGTAAGTGGTGAAGATGACAAGTTACTGATTTGCTACTTTGATACAATGATAATGTAAACTGTTTTTTCTTTTTATTTTTGTTCTATGTGAAGCTTTCTTCATTTCATGTTATACAAGATCGTGGTTTGTCATATCTGTGTTTTGCATAGGAGCTTAGCTTACCATATTCAGTAGTTGCTACATTCCTCTTTTCAGTTAGTTTGCTGTCTGTTTGAGTTTTCTTAATGTCCTTGTAGATTGTCATTTGGAGGGGTTGATCATGGCCTTTGAGCCTTATTTTCTAAGAGGCCCCCCTGCCAATACTATCAACATAGAAGATATTCAATTGAATACCAACTGGGAAGATGTGATTTGTCCCATATGCCTGGATTTCCCTCATAATTGTGTACTCCTCCAATGCTCATCTTATGATAAAGGCTGCCAGCCTTTTGTGTGTGATACAGACCATTTGCATTCAAATTGTTTGGGTCGTTTTAAAAGTGCAAGTGGTTTGTCATCCCTTTCAACATCTGATTCAACTCCTGCAACAAATACTCAGCCAGCAGTAGCAGATAGCAGTTGCAAACTAGTTTGTCCGTTGTGTAGAGGTGAAGTCATAGGGTGGGTTGTTGTTGATAAGGCTCGTTTACATTTGGATGAGAAGAAGCGTTGTTGTGCAGAAGAACAATGTACATTCATGGGAACATATTTTGAACTACATGAACATGCTCAAATAGAACACCCGCATGCTCGCCCTTCAAAAATTGACCCTGCTCGGCAGCTTGATTGGGAAAATTTTCAGCAGTCATCTGAGATAATAGATGTTTTGAGCACCATACATTCAGAAGTGCCACGTGGAATTGTTCTAGGAGACTATGTGATTGAGTATGGAGATGATGATACTGGAGATGAGTTTGAGGACTTCCCTGGAGATGAAGGTAACTGGTGGACTTCTTGTATCTTGTATCAGGTATTTGATAACTTCAGAAATTCAAGAAATAGAAGAAGGGCAAGAATAGCTGATACAAGGAGAGGAAGTCGCCACTCAAGTTATGATACTTCAAATTCTGATGAAGGCTCTGTAACATCTGTAGACTTTGCAGAATACAGATTAGATGAGACTGATGATGAGTTCCCAAGTTCAAGTGTCTCCTCCAGGGGTAGTTCTGGTCATCGCAGGTCAATAAAGCTACCTCTTTTCTTACATCTTGGGTTTTTTTTTTTTTTTTTTTTTTTATGTTCGATTCATCTCTGGAATTAAAGTTTTCTCATCATGATTATTTGCATTATTTTTTTTGGGTGGACATTGGGCACAGAAAATTGTTGCACATTTGCTACTATACAGGGACTGATATACAAATCTATAGGCAACTACTTAGTGGAAATTCTGGTTACCTTTGATTTTGCGTGATTTGCATTCAAATGAACATCTGACAGTCACCAAGTCAAATAAATTGAGAGCACAATAAATGCACTTTTCAACCATTTCTGATACATTAATCAACCTGGGTAGTTTTCTTGCTGGGTGCAAAACTTCATGTGCATTAGAAGCATTTTGACAAGGTTATGGGTTTGAGGTGTATCTGTGGTACAAGCCATGCATGTAAAGCTAGTTTATTTCAATTGAGAACTTCAGTTGTCAGAATAAAATTCTAGCAATTGCTAACTCTTTGACACTTTCTTCCAATAATTTTATACTTACTATTCTATATCTCACAGTTCTCGAAGACGGCGCTCTCGCTTCTATGACACTTAGGTATGTACTTGATCGTGGATCCTTAGCTTGGAAATCAGGTAGGTTCCTTTTTCTGTAGAAAGGCCCATGCTTGCCAATTTAAGAGTGCACAGTTATATTCATAGCGGTGTATCCTACATCTCATTGAAATTCAATTGTGCACTCCTATTCGCTTACCTAAGATATTATACTCACTAAACCCCATGTATTGTGTTAGCAGCGGCTGTAATTAAAGTGCAGCAAAGGATCGAAAGCAAAATGTTAGGGATTCCGCAGATAGTGTTGGTCTTCAAACATTTAAAAGTAAAATCCTGACCCCATCCTGTTGTACATGTAAACTAGACTTGCTCGTTAGACATGAATTTTTGTATTTGCCATCTCCAGGTAGTCATATGGCGACTAAATTTGTTCTTCGGATTTTTTTTTCTTTTTAATTTGAGATTGACTATTAATTTCCTTAATAGAACTTTGATTATCTTAACTGTATATATTCTTTTTCTGCTACTGCTTGTCACAAACTCATGGATTAGCTCACCTTCTCCTGTCCAGCAGAGATACGAAGCATATTTTCTGGCATGTTATCTTGGCAGTAGTCATTTGAGTAATGACTCTGTTATTTTCTGTTCTAAAATTGTCAAAGAACCAATTCAATTAAAAATTAAAAAACTTAAACTTAGATCCCGAGAATGGTTTTTTATTGCTTTTTTAACGCCTGAAACTTTTATAGATTTATCATTAATTTATGTTTGATTTTATTAATTTAATTAGATAAAGAATAAGATTAAACTAGAATAATTTACATGACTCGTTAGCAATAATTGCATGTGCAATTAAAGTACCACTCAAGAAAAAATAATGGCATCTTCAATTCCTACAATTATTCTGTTTGTGATTCCTGAAAAAGACGGCACGGATTCTACCTTCAGTATATTCTGTGGTAAAAGATGCTGTCTAGACCCCAGTGGCAGCATCTGCCGACGTCAATATTTCCAAAATCTGCTCACGTCAGTTGGCAAATTTTCATTTTAAAGCAGACTCCGAAAAATACATGAGGTGACATGTCCACTGAAGATCAATTGAGCTAGAACTCGTCACATGGAAAAAGGGGTAGGTTTTGTATCTGAGCTGATATACTCCAGGTTTCAATAACCTCTTATTGTAAGCCCTAAAATGATGCTCAATTCCACCCTCGCACTGGACATTTGCAAACATTGACCTGAAGAACAGGACTGTGCTTTTAGACATTTGCAAACGTTGACCTGAAGAACAGAACTGTGCTTTTGCACCTCGAACCTACTTCCAAGTTCAGCAATTCAGCAGTTTTAAAGGCATCCTTTATCTATCTTCGACTCCCAAAACAATTATTAACCAGAGATAACCGGCAGGCTCTATATCTCGGCTAGAAAAAAAAGTTATTAAAAAAGTACTGCAATTATGAAATATTAATTTCCCAATCCAGCTAAATGGGAAAGAAGCAAACAAACGAGACTGAACTTAAATATTATATCAATGTAGCAAACACTTAAACAAGTAGATGGCAATTCGAAAGCAGCTCACAATAGTGAGCTGATATACTCCAGGTTTCAATAACCTCGGATTGTAAGCCCTAAAATGATGCTCAATTCCACCCTCGCACTGGACATTTGCAAACGTTGACCTGAAGAACAGGACTGTGCTTTTGCACCTCGAACCTACTTCCAAGTTCAGCAATTCAGCAGTTTTAAAGGCACCCTTTATCTATCTTCGACTCCCAAAACAATTATTAACTAGAGATAACCGGCAGGCTCTGTATCTCGGCCAGAAAAAAAAGTTATTAAAAAAGTACTGCAATTATGAAATATTAATTTCCCAATCCAGCCAAACGGGAAAGAAGCAAACAAACGAGACTAAACTTAAATATTATATCAATGTAGCAAACACTTAAACAAGTAGATGGCAATTCGAAAGCAGCTCACAACAATGAGCTGATATACTCCAGGTTTCAATAACCTCGGATTGCAAGCCCTAAAATGATGCTCAATTCCACCCTTGCACTGGACATTTGCAAACGTTGACTTGAAGAACAGGACTGTGCTTTTGCACCTCGAATCTACTTCCAAGTTCAGCAATTCAGCAGTTTTAAAGGCACCCTTTATCTATCTTCGACTCCCAAAACAATTATTAACCAGAGATAACCGGCAGGTTCTGTATCTCGGCTAGAAAAAAAAGTTATTAAAAAAATACTGCAATTATGAAATATTAATTTCCCAATCCAGCCAAACGGGAAAGAAGCAAACAAACGAGACTGAACTTAAATATTATATCAATGTAGCAAACACTTAAACAAGTAGATGGCAATTCGAAAGCAGCTCACAACAGTGAGCTAGAATTACAAGAAGATGACGACATGCCCTGATCTAATATGGGACGTTCTTGGGCAGGTTCCAAATAACGTTATTCTTCATGTTAATTTTAGTCCGCATGGCCTCTGCTGATCGACTCACTTGCTTCATCACTTTCATCCTCACCATTTGCTCTCTTGACTGGATAGTTGTCAGCCCCATGCTCCGGTATCTGAAAATTGGAACAAAGTTAAGACGCCATACCACTGCTTCTGTCAATTTATTTGATTCCTAATACTACTTGGGTAAAGGGGAAGAAAGTGCGATTTCATTTAATTTCAAACTGTTTCCTCTTCAATATCACGATCATATTTTCTGAAACACAGAGATTGAAAGCACACCTGGACGCAAGTGCAGCAGCAACGGCTATATGATTTGCATGCGATGGTCGTGGCTTTTGGCGATAATAGCGCAAGTATTCTCGGGAACCTAGTGTTTTGGATGACACTTTATTACCAGATTTTGTGGTTATAATTAGCTCTGAACCACCACTACCAAGCTCAGCAGTGTTGGCCATGTCACCTGATGCAACAAGTTGTCTCCCATCCTCAGCCACATAGCTGCAACCAGGAAACAAAATAGATACACAATATCAAAATAAAATTACAGATGAAAGATTAAAAGAATTGACTAAAAGCCAAGTATTGAACAAGATAACTCTGCTTCTGATTATATTATCATTACCAGAAATTATGATAAAAGAAATGGGTTTTATATGAAATTAACTGCAGTTAATGCTGAGACAAACCTGCTGCTATAATCATAGAAGTCTTCTAACTCAGCTTCCTCATCCTCATCACCATCACCATAATGTACTTTGCAGTGACTTTTTGCTTCCATATGCTTCCTAACTGCTTCCAAGCTGTTGAAAGGTTGACGCTTGTCATTGCAGTACAAACACATGAAATCCCTCTTCACCTGGTGAGGAGAAAATAGCATAAAAGTAAATATGACTTCTAGAATAAAATAAGAATATGCTGCGCAAATAAAGAACATAGCATGTAATACAGTACCTTGAGGCCAAGATAAGTAAGAAGACCCTGTGGATCCTTCAAATACTCAACATCAGGAATAAAGAACCCATGATGCTTATGCATATGAACCATGCAGCTTTCTATGTTATCATGCTCTTGATCACACATGAAGCAACACGATGGGTCCAACAACACATCATCTTCATCATCCTCAGCAATATCATCAAGGGAGGCCATCTCATTTACATTCAAACCAGTCAGAGACTTTGTGGTCTCAGCAACCAACTCTTCATCCGAATCAACTTCTTCCCACTCATCCTCACTCTCTTCACTTTCTCTAACATCTGCCTCCCTTTGCACAACACGCTTATTCACCTCCCGTCGAGGAAGCGGTTTAATCACAGTATTCTCCTCTTCCTGGTTTGTTCCTTGAGAAGCTCGCAGTATGTGGCTCCTTGATTTAAGGTGCTGATCATGAGCTTTGGAACTTCGATATCCCTTGTTACATAGAACACAGCTATAAAGCATAGGGGTTTCATTCTTCTCTTTCTCTTTAGCAATTGCAGACTGTCTAGCCACAAAAAGCGCTTCAGTCACTCCCGGAACACCAGCAACCTACATTTTAACAGAATCCCAGAGAATGGTAAAAATTTGAGAACTTCTCATGATTTTTTTTCAAGGAAAACTATATCATTAGTCCTCTTATTGATATCACCAATTACCGAGAAACCCTAAGCAAAATCTGTTATTTTAATCTCTGACTACACGATAATGTTGATTCTTCTGCTTTGTCATGTAATGGTATTTACAAACACAATGGCTTTTGCTATACTTCCAAGTTATTTCTTATAATCAACACTTAGCTTAATCTCCATCAAACCACAAAAGCACACCACTACGTTAGCTTAACATCATTACAGCTATCAACAAATGAAACAAAATAAAATCATTCACTCAACAACAATCAATTAAAACTCTAAACACTGAAAAAAAAAAAAGAGAACACAACAATTATTATCACTCAAAATCTCAAAATTTTCCACCATTATAAGCATGTCTCTTTCATAAAAACAACAAAAACCCAGTGATGTAATAAACTCAAACTAGACTCTCAGCCCACAAAACCCCGTCTAAAAAACATTAACAAAACACAAATAAGCAAAGAAAACACTAAGAGAACAAGAAAAAAACCCACCTTTCGTTTAAGATTGTAACGGTGCCATTCAGACTTGTAGTGCAGTTTTTGTTCAGCATCATCATCGAATTCTTTATTACAAGCGTTACAAGTTAATCCTGGCATTTTATTCTCTCTTTTCTCGGCTTTCTCAGTTCGATTTCTCGTTTTTTATAAGAGAAAGGGAGGCGAAAATATACGACCGCTGGTTGTCGGCGAGATTGTTTTACAAGACACGAGTCGTTCGTTGCGCAAACCCCTACGATTGATCGATCAGCTTTCGCTGAAACCTCGGAGAGTTGTTCATTTTTATTGAAGTGGGTGGCCCAACCTGTTTATTGCCCATGGGCTTTAGGCCTATTTAACTTAATGATGAAATTATAGCCGTGATAATAATAGTTACAGTAATTTTTATTTAAAAATATATTAAAATGATATTTTTTATAAAAATAATTTAAAACAAAAATAAAAAAATTAATTTTTTAAATGTTTTTAAAACATAAAAAATATCTATTAATTAAAAATATCCTTGATTGCAATACCCAGCACATTAGATTAATAGGTCATCCACCCTTGCATAAGTTATGTTAGTGAAAAAATCAGAATTCAAAATAATATTTTTTAAAAACAATTAGTTTATTTTTAAGTAAAATAACCTAGATTAATTAATCCTCTTCTTAATCTCATCTCAAATTAAATTTACCATCAAATCAAGTTTTATAATTATAAAAATATGCAATAATCTAAAAAAAATTACTAGGCTATGTCGAGTTTATTAGGAATCATTTAATAATTTCTTTTAATATTTAATATACAAGAAATAACTTATTTTATTTGATAAAGAAACACAATTTGTTTATCTTCTAAGTTCTAATTAATTAGTTTCACTGTATTCATGTTTTTATTTAAAAATAACAATTAAACTATAAGATCCAATCTTGTGACATGGCATCAGCCGGGTCTTAAACCAGATTAATTCGAGTGGGGTTTAATAATTATAATTTTAACCCATCAAACTCTTACATTTGTAAAGCACCCCACCACCAACAACATTCCTCTTCTCCCTTTAACGAGATCCATCCACCCCCGGATAACTGCTCCCTCTCTCTCCCTACCTGAAAATTTTCCAATTTCAAACACTGAGTCACGATGTCCGCCATTTCTCGGCCTCCGAATCGACTCACTGAGTTCAAATCAGGTGGAAAAATTGTTCGACCCAGGCGAACCACTACCCGTCCCACTCCATACGACCGGCCTGCTCCTCGCCTTTCCCCTATTTCCACTCCTCAAAACCCTAATTGGCTTTCTCGTTTCATTCTATCTCCTTCTCGTATAATTGCTACCGGTGCCGGAAAAGTCTTATCCACCGTCTTCGGCTCTGAATCCTCCGCTTCCTCCTCCTCCTCCTCCGATGTCGACGAAGAAGAAGAAGGCGATTCCGGCTCTACTTCCGGTATTGCAAATTTGATTTGGTTATTAGTTTTTAATCAAATTCGTTTAGAAATGTTAATTTTCAAATTATGAAATTTCTGGCTCGTGGCTTTCTGTAGAGGGTGAAATGGAAGATGTCAATGACGGCAATGGTTCTTCTCAAAGTGATGAAAAGGTAGTTTTTTGTGTCCCTTTTAACTTGAATGAGGGATTTTAGATACATTGCAGATGTATAATTTGATTTTTGAGTGTTTTGTGATTTAAATTAAGCTTATTTTCTTGGCATTTAAGAGCGTGAGATTTGTGGTGATTGATTTTTTTTTTGTGCGTGTGGAAATTAGGAGAATCAGACAACTGAAATTGTTAATCACTCGAAGAAAGATCTCCCTGCTGTGGAGTGGAAGACTGCGACATTGCGCGTAATTGCACAGCTTCTAATGCAGGAAACGTTCTCGAGGTAATTGGGAATCTCTTACATTGTTTCTTTAGAAACATCTCGCATGCACATTTACATTGCTTTTTCTTGAGTCCATGTCATTAGGACCCGGAACTAGGATTTTAGGTATGAGGGTTCCAGTGTAAAACATACTAGGGTGCATTTGAAAATAAAATAAATGAGTGATAGCTATAGAACAATAGGTAATTTCTTTTGGGAGGGGGGCGGTGTATGTTTTCTGTGAAATAAGCCTTAAATTCAAGGGTAGATTAAAAAAAAAATTAAATGTTTTCATGACTAAAATAAAATTTGTCAAACTCTTGGGGGTGCCATTGTCTGCTCAGCTATGCTGTAGTTCAGCCGTTTCTTGTCATCAATGCATTGGAACCATCTGTTCTGGACTTTTATATATGACTGCTTTTGTTGCATTTGTGTTAATTCACCTTGATTCTTGAACTATCTACTCCAAGCATTTAACTTAGTTATTGAGATATAAGGTTCAAGTAATAGTTCAAATTCAAAACAATACATTGGTAATAACTATCATGGTTTATTTAATTTGTGAAGCCTTGCTGAAAATTTTAAATTCTTTTGCCTACCGCTAACATTGCTGGAGATTATTCTTTCTTTATATATTCAGCCTTGGTTTGATTACAAATTCTGAATTATTTTCTTTTCACAATGACCAGGGAAGAATGCGACAGACTAACACATATTATTAAATCGAGAGTTGTAGATTCTCCCATCACTGGGAGCACAAAAGATGGGAGGCCAAGTAAGACTCTGGAGAAGACAGTTGGCAATGGTATTGTTATTTTGGATTTTTCACATTCAAAGTACTTAGAAATTCATATGCCTAGTGGTATATCTTGCTGATTGGTTTAGCCCTGTTTCAGATGTTGATACACCTGATATCTGCAATACAGCTGTTACAGAGGCCAAAAAATGGTTTGAGGGAAAGAAATTGGGGTCCAATTCAAAGTCAGTGGAGTATGGAACCTGCATTTTGAACACTGCTCCACATGTTAGTAATCCTTTTATTTTTATTTAATCATAGTATAAGGAATTTATGATAACTACAATAGTTGCTTCTTTAGATTATAGTGACGTGGCTTTGTATTTAATCATATTTTACAACGGGTCATGATGATTTTAGATTATTCCATGCAATGGCAGTTCCCTTGTCCTTGTAATTCGTTTTCTGTGAACGTGTCCATTATTGCTCATTGAAATGTACAGGCTCTCATAATAAGTTGACTTGCTATCCTCCTTTGACCAATTATTGTCAATGTCCATGCATTGATTTTTTTTATTATTCTTCTTTTTGTAGATTCTGTTTTCACTAGACCAAGGAACTAAATTGTGCAAGTACCTTAACACACTTGTTTTATTCAGCAACTGCTGTGAGCTAATTGGTGCACCCCACCTTTTTGCTATTGATTTTTATTGAACAGGCTACTGAAGGAGAAACGGGTTCACCGGTGGATTTGGCCAAAACTTACATGCGAGAGCGTCCACCTTGGGCATCTCCTTCCACAGACCACATCCAATTGCAATCACCACCATCAATGGGAAAAGAGCTTTTCGTGGAATCAACACCATTTTCAGTCAGTGGCAGGTCATTGTCCCAATCAAAGGTGCTGTATGGAAGTCTCTTTTACTCTTCTCCATTTATTTGTATAGTTATAGACCCTTTTATTGCTTTTGTTGTAGTGAAAGGGTCTTGGAGTTTGATAGTAAAAAATGATCTTGTGAACTTCAAAGGGTGTTTTGTTTCCACTTTGACTTAGAAATGCAATTTAATGATCCTGCCCTGGTTTTATTAGATAGTCATATTTATTTCAGGGTGATAAAGCACACATCCATGAGTAGTTAAGTCAGGATCAGAAAAGGAATGAGAGTTTCTTGAGAATCACGCGCTTATTTTTCTGGCTATAAAGTGAAATTCTTGACAAATGCTAGTTCTGTTTGAATTTGAACAGATTGATTAACTTTTTTGAATTCATTGGAAAGAAATTGAGCAAGGAACTCATAAGATGTATTATTAGAATTTAATTTTTGTATGTGGAAGAAAGGACAGGATAAGATGAAGGCCGTTACTCAGTTTTGACCCTATTGTGGTCATGATGGGGTACTGGAGGGGAGAATTTTGTGGTAGTCCTACTCTTGTGCACTTTTGATAGAAGTGGCATCTCTCATAACTCTTCAACTCTCTTACCTTTAAATCATGTGATGGCCTCTGAGGGCACTGGGAAGAAACATGAAAATGATGTGCTTTATGCAATGTTTGCTAATTTTCTCAAGGTTATTGCTCTGTACAGCTTAATTTATTGTGATATGATGAAACTTGAATGCAGTTGAGCAGGGGTTTCCTGGTCACTGGTTCCTGGAATATCCAGGAGGAACTACGTAAAGTGAGATCCAGGGCAACTGAAGAGATGCTGAGGACTCGACCATCTTCCAAAATGGATTGGTCTGCATTAGCTTCAGCTTATAAAGGAAGCCCTAGTGTATTGGGGGCTGGAGAATTTAGTGGTGCTAAAAATAAACTTTCCAACTTCACACAATTAATAGATGTACCTTTGAAGTGGGGAAGTGCAGCAAATAATTCTGGCTTCACAGGTGTGTTTTTTTACCTGCCTGAGGGAAATTATGTGAATTGTAGCCACGGTCACCAGTGCTATAACATGTGGATTATTTATGAAATAAAACCTACTTGGTTGAAGTCTTTTTATCCAAAGAGAGGGGGGGGAATGAAATCTCATTTTCTTCATTTTCAGATACTCAGATGGCACAAGTTAGGTTGCAGAATGATGATTTTTCACCTAATGCTGCTACTTCTGTTCCTGAAAAAAGTCAGGTAACTTGGATGCGGGATTGGGAATTCAGTAAAAAGTTTTTCTTGCTCATTTGGTATATCTATTAATATTACCGTGAATAGCTCATAGGAATCACAAAAATTGTTTTTACCATTCCCTATAGCTAAAGCAGTTCAGTTATGGAAACCTTGCATCTTATTCTTCTTTCCTTCCTTTTAAGTTTTATTAGAAAATAAATTGAAACTTCTATTATTAGAACTAAATTAATCATGTCTGATGATTTACTAATATGTTCATGAAGGGTCTGGGATCAACACCGACCACTGAGGGAATGGCAGGTGCTTTTTCCATAACCACTGAGTTTTTTCTCTCTCTCCCTTTTATTCTCTGGTGATTACTCTTTCCTGACAAATTGAAACCAATTAATTTAGGATTGCGGGATGGCTCTGAAGGGATATCAAGCCATGAACAACAGCAGCTCCCAGAAGAAGTGATAGTAAAACAAAAGTTAGCTTCCCCTTTCCCTGATTTTCTAAAATCCTATGGGCTATGAAGAGGTCTGTTGTCCTTTCTTATGATTTCCGCATCTCTCTATATGTCATA